AAGGGTGACAATTGGGGATGGGGCCAGGAGACAGGATTTCAGTGGAAAACTGAACCAAATGGCGCTCCCTGTTATCAGGTCACTTGCCCCCGTCATAGCAACCGGAGCCGTGGGGCGCAGCAGCCAGCGGCTCTAACCTTTGGGGTGCACGGTCTTCCCCACCACCCCACAAATCTGCCAGATCTTGGGGCCCTTGCACCCACACCACAAGGACACGAAGCTAAATGGTCCCAGCAAAGCTTTCCACAGCCAGAAGCGTTTTTCAGGCAGGCGCGGAGGCTCACGCCTGTAATCCCAACTCTCTGGGAGTCCGAGGCAAGGAGATACCTTGAGCTCAGGAGTTCGAGACCAGCCTGAGCAAGAGTGAGACCCTGGGAGCGTTGCACACGCCTGTACTCCCAGCTACTCCGCAGACTGAGGCAGAAGGCTCGCTTGATCCCAGGGACATGAGGTTGCTGTGAGCCTGGCTGACGCCAAGGCACTCTAGCCTGGGTGACAGCGTGGGACTTTGTCTCAAAAAACCCCGCGAAAAACCAGAAGCGTTTTTCTAGTCATTTGTACTAATCTCATTTGCAAAGCCCCTCCCAGGCTGTAGCGGGACAAGGCGTTTTCCGGGTGGGGGCTATGGGATGAGATCCTGTTCGCGCTCTCAGGCGGACTCCAAGCTCCAATAGCAGCTCGAGGAATCCTAAACCGTTTGTACCTGCGCGCCAAGGCGCCTAAAGTACTGGGGGGGAGGGGCTGCGCCCTTTGTCCCGGGGGACTGGTCCCCTGATCCCAGCAGCCAGCCTTCGGGTCCCGGGGGAGTCCCAGGGGGTCCCCGGAAGGCGTGCCGCGGAGACCCCAGCGCAACACCACAGAAGCGCCAGCCACGCGGCTGCCTGGGGACGGAAGGACAGGGGGCTTCAATGGGCGGAGCTTGTCCGGCATCCAATAGGATGCAGCGGGCGGGGGCGTCGGGCCACCCCGCAAAAGGGCGCGCTGCGCGCCGGGCATTTAAGGACGCCGGGCTGCGGGGTAGTCCGTTCGCCCCTCGCGTCTCTGCAGAGTCCCGCCCGCCTCACCTCAGCCATGCTGTCTGTCCGCGTCGCCCTGGCCCCCATCGGAGACAAGCAGCTGCAGTTGTCGCCGCTGAAGGGGCTCAGCCTGGCCGACAAGGAGAACACGGTGAGCGCGCGGCCGGGCAGGCCGGGCGGTAGGCTGCGCGCGCCGGGGCGGGAGGGTGAGGGGGCCGCCGCCGTCCCTCACGCGCGTCTCCCTGCAGCCCCCGGCCCTGAGCGGGACCCGCGTCCTGGCCAGCAAGACCGCGAGGAGGATCTTCCAGGAGTCCCCGGAGCCCGTGAGTGGAGAGCGTGCGGGCGAGAGGGCTGGTCGGCAGGGGGAGTCCGCGCCCAGCGTTTCGGCGCCAAAATCGCATTGTTTCCTCAGCGCCTTTCCCGCCCAAGTGACCCCTTCCTGAAATGACCTGCTTTGCACATATGTACATGTCCCCTAGTTCTGTAGCACCCTCCTCTTCTATTACACAGGGGATGCGATGGGACTGCTGACCTTGATGCATGGAGCCACATGGAATTGCCGGCCACTGAAGGAAGGGGGCTTGGGAAAATGGCAATTTCATGTGGTTCGCCCGACCTATCCTTAGATCTGGTGTTATTTTTCTCCCCCACCAGAAAACTAGAGTACCTACCCCCAGCGTGGAGGATGAACCACTGCTGAGAGAAAACCCCCGCCGCTTTGTCATCTTTCCTATCGAATACCATGACATTTGGCAAATGTATAAGAAAGCGGAGGCGTCTTTTTGGACGGCTGAGGAGGTAATGGGATTCTAGAAGACCTCTGCAGTGGCGATAATAAGTTGTTTGAAATGTTCCTTAGATCCCTTTTGGGAAGGGTTGCCCACTGAGGATGTTAGATGCTTTAATTGGGAGAGGGACTGTATGTGAAGGGTGAGGGCATGATTGATGACTTTAAGGACATTTGAAAGAGCTTGGTGTGCGGTCCTTCTTCATGCCTGAGTCTGAAATCGTGAACATCTAAACTCAGGTGGATCTTTCTAAGGACATTCAGCACTGGGAAACCTTGAAGCCTGAAGAGAGATACTTCATATCACATGTTCTGGCTTTTTTCGCAGCAAGTGATGGCATAGTAAATGAAAACTTGGTGAGTTTCCCAAAGCCAACTTTTACTCACTTGAAGGTTGAAAGTAGAACTAGTTTGCTTTTGTCTTCTTAATTTTCCACACTGTGTGTGTGTATGTATATATGTTACATGGCGACTCCTGTTTCGCAACGCAACTGAACTTATTTCTCCTGTGGTATTTATTCCCTGACTGGAGAGGCTCAAAGACAATGTTCAGTGGGACTAATAGGTTTACTCCTTTTGGCCACATTTGCCCTCTTTGTGGCTTTGCCATTTTGATCATTAGGTTGTAGTGCTTACTTTGGCAGCACAAATACTAAAATTGAAAGGATACAGAGAAGATTAACATGGCCCCTCCCCCAAGGATGACACGCAAATTCATGAGGCATTGGGTATTTTCCCCAAAGAGTAAATTATCCCCTAATTATGCTTGAAGTAAAACTTCTATCTAGGGTGGCGGGTTCAAGCCCAGCCCCAGCCAAACTGTAACAAAAAATAGCCAGGGCGGGTGCCTATAGTCCCTACTAGGGAAGCTAAGGCAAGAAAATCACCTAAGCCCAGGTGTTGAAGGTTGCTGTGAGCTGTGTGACACCACGGCACTCTACCAAGGGCGATAAAGTAAAACTGTCTCTACAAAAAAAAATTTAAAAACTTCTGTCTAAAGAAATTTTGGTTGCTTATGTCTTACTGTGACTGAATCCTTTTTGCTATGGCGTAGGAAAGTCAATTGATAATAAGTGCTCACAGAAACTCTGTGAAATAGGAATTATCTATTTCCTGATATGCAAATGGAGCATATGTTTATAGAAAAAAAACACTTATACTGGATTTTTTATACAAAGAAGGGGGTGCCTTGGGCTGAAAGTTGCTGCTATTAGTTTTTCCTTAAGCTTAACTTTGATGTGTTTGTCACTAGGTGGAGCGATTTAGCCAAGAAGTTCAGATTACAGAGGCCCGTTGTTTCTATGGCTTCCAAATTGCCATGGAAAACATTCATTCTGAAATGTATAGTCTCCTTATTGACACTTACATTAAAGATTCCCAAGAAAGGTGAGTATGCAGGTGGTAGGCAAAAAGTTGAGGACTCGCTAAGTGTAAGCTTTATTTCAAGTTTTTGGTTCATATAGGCATAAAAATGACTCCAGAATGACTAAGCAGTCATAGTTGTTTCTGGCACCCATAGTCATGTCTGCTTTTAGCAAGGAACCTAAATTCACTTTATTAGTCATTCATTTACAGTTATGAGGATACTGTTGAACAACCAGTCTTATGCCTTCTTTTGAAAAAATAATCTGGGCAGCACTTGTGGCTCAGTGAGTAGGGCACTGGCTGCATATACCGAGGGTGGCGGGTTCAAATCTGGCCCCAGCCAAACTGCAACAAAAAATAGCTGGGTGGGGTGGCACCTGTGGCTCATTGGGTAAGGCGCTGGCCCCATACACTGAGGGTGGAGGGTTCAAACCCAGCCCCAGCCAAATTGCAACCAAAAAATAGCCAGGCATTGTGGCAGGTGCCTGTAGTCCCAGCTACTCAGGAGGCTGAGGCAAGAGGATTGCTAGGAGTTGGAGGTTGCTATGAGCTGTGTGACGCCACAGCACTCTATACTGAGGGCAATAAAGTAAGACCCTAAAAAACGATAGCCGGGCATTGTGGCGAGTGCCTGTAGTCCCAGCTACATGGGAGACTGAGGCAAGAGCATCGGTTAAGCCCAATACCTGGAGGTTGCTGTGAACCGTGACACCACGGCATTCTACCTGAGGGTGACAAAGTAAAACTCTTGTCTCTTAAAAAAATAATAATAATCTCTAGACGTTGGATATGAGGAAGTAAAATTTGGGCCTAAGGGTTTTTAACTCGAGTGACAACATTTTGAGAACCTTGATTATGGGGCTGGGGCTAGATGGTAGAGGAGGAGGACTTGCCCCTTAAAGAGATTGTGGTCAGCATTAGGGAAGGAGCCTTATATGGAGTGACAGTAGCGAAGCTGAAGTCTCAAGTGGCTATTGTAGACTACACAGAAGCATGTAAAGAGGGAAAATAAGCAGGAACTCAAAAGGACTGAGGTGACTCTGGGTAGAGATTTTTTTTTTTTTTAGAGACAGAATGTTGCTTTGTTGCCCTTGGTAGAGTGCTGTGGTGTCACAGCTCACAGCAACCTCCAACTCCTGGTCTTAGTTGATTCTCTTGACTTAGCCTTCCCAGTAGCTGAGACTACAGGCACCCGCCACAATGCCCAGATATTTTTTTGTTGCAGTTTGGCTGGGGCTGTGTTTGAACCCACCACCCTCAGTATATGGGACCAGCGCCCTACTCTCAATGAGCCACAGGGGCTGCCCAGCGTAGAGATTTTTTTTAATTTTATGTATTCTTATTAGTTTTTATAATTTTGGGTTGGGAGACAAGAGTCTCACTAATTGCCCTTGGTAGAGTGCCATGGATCATATCTCAGCAACCTCAAACTCCTGGGCTCAAGTGATCCTCTTGTCTTAGCCTCCTGAGCAGCTGGGACTATAGATGCCCACCACAATGCCCAGCTATTTTTAGAGATGGGGTCTCACTCTTGCTCAGGCTGGTATTAAACTCCTAAACTCAAACAATCTCCCCATCTTGGCCTCCCAGAGCGCTAGGATTACAGACACGAGCCACTGCCCAGCCCTGTGGGTAGAGATTTGAATATGCTGTAAATAAAAATGAGAACATGTAGAGGCATGATTGAGGGTATGACGCAGGGATGGGATTAGGAAAGTCTAGATGGTAAGCCTCAGGAATAGGGAGACACAGGCCAACTCAAAGAGGAGGGTACTGAGATGGAAAGAACCCAATGTCTAGTGACCTTAGCTTCAGAACACAAAGTCATCTGGGTGGGAACAGGATGGGAAATAGACTCCTAAGGTGGGCACCAGCATGAAGGAAATAGAAGAAGGTAGTAAGGAAGATCCAGGTAGGTGCAGGGCTTACCTCTTTGCTTTCCTGATATGGGATCAATGGTGTAGCTTAGAAGTCTAGTAGGAAGCAATCTTAGGTAGTTTAGCATATTGCTTTAATTACATAGATATGGTAGTGTCCCAATAACACACCCAGTGATAATCTTTGCTGTTTATTTAGTGAGATAATAACTTAACAGTTAAGATTTTATGGTTCTTTAAAGATGATAGTGCCTGGCAACTATGATCTGGATTTGAAATAATGAAAGCAGTAGGCCGATGCTGTGGCTCACGCCTATAATCCTAGCACTCTGGGAGGCCAAGGTGGGTGGATTGCCTGAACTCACAGGTTCAAGACCAGCCTGAGCCAGAGCGAGACCTTGTCTCTAAAAATAGCTGAGCATTGTGGCGGGCACCTGTAGTCCCAGTTACTTGGGTGGCTGAGACAAGAAAATCACTTGAGCCCAGGAATTTGAGGTTGCTGTGAGCTATGACACCACAGCATTCTACTGAGGGCAACAAAGTGAGACTCTGTCTTACAAAAATAAATAAATAAATAATGATGGCAAGATTGTCCCTGGTATAATGGACTAAGTTTTAGTGTTCATAGACTTTGGAGCTCAGTATGGAGTACAAGATACCAAGACTTATTAATCAACATAAATGAAATGAATATTGAGGTTTTTAAAGAACACTGGAAGGAAAAGCTAATCAGTAAAAAGAAAAACTTTTCAGTGTGAGTTCTTTTGGGGAGAGAATTGGCAAATATTAGAATCTGGCCTTCATCCCAGCACTGATCTAAAAGTTTGTGATCAGAGGTCTTGCCTGTGATGCTGTAATTGCTGATGCTTTATATCCCTACTAGGGAATTTCTCTTCAATGCTATTGAAACAATGCCTTGTGTCAAGAAGAAGGCAGATTGGGCCTTGCGTTGGATTGGGGACAAAGAGGCTACCTATGGTAGGGAGAACTTTGACCCTACTTAAACTTGATACTGGATTGTTGACCATTCCCATAAATACCAACACTTTACTCACTAGAAACTCTTTAAATAGGAGAACGTGTTGTAGCCTTTGCGGCAGTGGAAGGAATCTTCTTTTCTGGTTCTTTTGCATCAATATTCTGGCTCAAGAAACGAGGACTGATGCCTGGCCTCACATTTTCCAATGAACTTATTAGCAGAGATGAGGTGAGTCTAAATCAAATAACAGGCAAGCTTGTAGCCCAATCGTCTACAACCTAAGGCTTATTCTTATTATGTCCACTAAAGGAGACTGAAGATAACAGATGCCATCATATACACATTTAATACTTTAAAGTTTAGGCTCGATGCCTATAGCTCAGCAGCTGGGGTGCCAGCCACATACATTGGAGCTAGAGGGTTCAAACCCAGCCTGGGCCTGCCAAACAAAAATGACAACCACAACCAAAAAATAGCCAGGCGTTATGATGGGCACGTGTAGTCCCAGCTACTTGGGAGGTTGAGGCAAGAGAATCGCTTAAGCCTAAGAGTTTGAGGTTGCTGTGAGCTGTGATGCTACAGCACTCTACTGAGGGCAACATAGTGAAATTCTGTCTCAAAAAAAAACTTGAACCAAATATATGCTCGGTAAAGGAAATACAGTAGAACCTCTGTAAGTTGGCCAGTCAAGGGACTAACGTATAGAGGTGGTTAACATAAGGAACTAGGCCTACTGTACAGATACGTGCATGTGGTACATGTCCAGTCTATGAAAATTACATCAATGTAAGGAAGTGGTAAATGCAGGGAGATGGTCAACTGTGGAGGTTCTACTGTACTTCAATTTACTGAAATTATTTTACTTGCATTTTCTTTTTTTTGAGACAGAGCTTCAAGCTGTCGCCCTGGATACAGTGCTGTAGCATCACTGCTCATAGCAACCTTCAACTCTCAGACTCAAGTGATTCTCCTGCCTCCGCAGCTCTGGTGTATGTGGCTGGCACCTTAGCCGCTTGAGCCACAGGCGCCAAGCCTTTACTTGCATTTTCAATAAATACATTATTAGTACATGCATATTGCCCTTGAGTGCGCAAAACTCAAATACTTGGTGAGAGTTTTTAAAGAGCTGTTTTATTAATCTTGCCTGGTATTATATGTGATCCTATTTTCTACTTAAAAGTTTGTTGATAAGGGCAGCACTTACGGCTCAGTCAGTAGGGCACTGGCCCCATATACTGAGGGTGGTGGGTTCGAACCCGTCCCTGGCCAGCTAAAACAGCAGTGACAACTACAACAAAAAAATGCTGGGCATTGTGGCAAGCGCCTGTAGTCCCAGCTACTCAGGAGGCTGAGGCAAGAGAATCTCTTAATAAGTCCAAGAGTTGGAGGTTGCTGTGAGCTGTGATGCTGTAGCACTGTACCGCAGAGAAAAGTGAGACTCTGTCTCAAAAAAAAAAAAGTTTGTTGATAAAGCCTGTCAATGAAATGAGGATTCATTTTGATCCAGGGTATGTCTTTGAACATACTTGGATTAAACCGAAGAAAGGAAGGTGAAAGTGCCTAGATTTCTAGTGTGTATGTCAGATTTGAAAGGCCAGGGACATGAACCCTACCATACTGGGGGCCAACTGAATATACTGAACATAGTCCATCTTGCCTCATAGAAAGACTTTCCTTCCTATGTAGGGAAATCAGCTTTGAAGCTTATGGGAGGTTGGGTCACTTAAAATCCCATCAGATTTCTGGAGCATTTAAAATCTAACTAGCCTTGTCACTGACATTTGCCCGCCCTATTGGGTGTAGTACCCAAATTAGAGCTTTTAGTTGCAGAAAGAATACTTTCAGTGAAAGTTCTGGCTCCTCACCACCTTACAAAAGAATAGGTGTGGCTTGTCCTTACCTCCTAGGTAGCTTTCTGGGCCTGGGTGGGGCTGACCCTGCCTCAGTGGTAGAGGTCACCTTCCCTTTGATAGTTCCAGTGCTCTCTGTATGGCTGAGCAAGTTGTATAAGGAGAATGTAGATAGTTTTATTATTCCATGATACAGTGTTCTGGCTTTAGTGATCTTGACCATTTTTCTTCTAGGGTTTACACTGTGACTTTGCCTGCTTGATGTTCAAACACCTGGTACATAAACCATCGGAGCAGAGAGTAAAAGAAATAATTATCAATGCTGTTAAGATAGAACAGGTGGGTGATGTGTACGAGTCACTCTAGTGCAGTGGTTCCTGCAGGTCACGACCCACAGGAACTGTATTAAAGGGCCATGGCATTAGGAAGGTTGAGAACCACTGCTCTAGTGCTTGCTAGGTGCTTTTGTGCCTTGGTGATATTCAGAAGCTATTTTGGTCCCTAGGAGTTCCTCACTGAGGCCTTGCCTGTGAAGCTCATTGGGATGAATTGCACATTAATGAAGCAGTACATTGAGTTTGTGGCAGACAGACTTATGCTGGAACTGGGTTTCAACAAGGTAAAGTATTGTTTATACCCTTCTATTGCTTTTGAAACTGTTGTTCTATATTTATATCTTGATGTGAACCTTTTCAGGTTTTCAGAGTAGAAAATCCATTTGACTTTATGGAGAATATTTCACTGGAAGGAAAGACTAACTTCTTTGAGAAGAGAGTAGGCGAATATCAGAGGATGGGAGTGATGTCAAGTCCAACAGAGAATTCTTTTACCTTGGATGCTGACTTCTAAATGAACTGGAGAGTTGGCCCTGGCCAGGTTCAAACCTGCCAGCCTCTGTGTACGTGGCTGGTGCCATAACCACTGTGCTATGGTGCCAAGCC